ATAATAGAGTTTGATAGATGGTTAATATGGAGTAGTTATTTCCATTTTTGCTGTCTCCATTTGTCATTTCTTCAGTCTGACTTTGATTTAATACTTCTATCTTGTTTTGTTGTTGTTGGGTGGTTCTTGTTTGAATGTCCCTAAAATTTGATTTCTCTAGTACTAAGTTATGGGATTGATTTAACAGTCACAGAAAGCACTTCTTACTCACTTAAAAGAACAAATGTCTCATTTGTCTTATATAATTTGAGAGTTTCATAGAGTTTTATCTACCTACATCAAGTAAAAGGAAGTTAATTTTGCATTTATAAAATATTCAAGTGACTTATATCATAATTAAGATATGGAATTTTTATTAGTCTTGAAAAAAATGCTCTGGAACTTTCAGGAACTTTTTACTCACCTTAAATTAGCTATTACCTTGATAGTTCCTTTGAACAGCCATTAGTATTGTAAACTTGCATTATAAAAGTCTAATTTGGCATGAAAATGTGGGAAATTCTGAGTAACCTTATATCTATTTTTTTCTAATCAGGGCATTTAGAGGCTTGAGGACCAGGGATATTTTCAGAATGTTTTATTCATTGTTATGCTCTCCTAACAATAGATACTTGTTATGAACAGTAGATACTTAATACATACTTTAATAGATATTAAAAGATTAATAGATGTTAAAAGAATGAAGAATGTTTTTCCAAGCTACAGGCCATGAAACTGAGCAATAGCCTTAGTCTGACATCAGGCTAACTCAATAAAACAATGGCTCCATCTGCACAGCTAAAGATGCTATGTACCCTCATAACAGCTTTAGAGGCTGATGAACAAGAAACTTGTGTAGAGTGTAGCAGCATGACTGCAATAATCATTAAACCAACCTGTGTCCTGGTTTGTACTTATGTATTTGAAACAGATTCTCTTTTAGCCAGGCTAAAGGCTCAATAAAATGCTAAAGCTTTTATCTGCTAAGGCTCAATAAAATGCCACTATTCGAATGCTAAATAAGGAAGTTCCAAGTCAGGTAGTTTAGCAGAGGAACCACCTGACCAGGAAAGGAACTCAGCTGGAAGCAAGAAAGGCAACATGGCTGGGACCAATGGAAGGGGTGCCTTGGATGAATATCCACTTAAACCCAACCCTTTCTTCCCGCCCTTTCAATGTGCCTCTAGCTCTATTTCAATACAGCTCCCTCTCTTATAACTCCCATTATAAAATCCCTTTACGTAGGCATAACCCAGATTCCAATGCTGCTAATTTACTTAGGACTTCCAAATCTCTGGGCTAGGAAGAGATTCAATGAACAAATCTTAGCTTCTACTGAGTTCTATGTAATTGACTTAAGAAAATTAGGAAAGTCAGTTAAGGGCTAACATCATAGGAGGATTCCTTAATCCAGACAAGTCCTCCATGCCAAGATCTGTGAATCTTACCCCCACTACATACAAACAAAGGCCTCTCCTCAGAATTCTATAGTACCTCCTTTGTTGTTGTTTAGTCACTAAGTCATGTCCAATTTTTTTGTGATGGACTGGAGCCATGAACTGTGACCCACCAGACTCCTGTGGCCCTAGGATTTTCCAGGCAACAATACTGGAGTGGGTCGCCATTTCCTCCTTCAGGCAACCTTCCCAACTCAGGTATCAGACCAACCTCTGTCTCCTGCGTCTCCTGCGTTGGCAGGTGGATTCTTTAGGCCTCTGAGCCGCCGGGGAAGCCCCGCGGCACCTCCTGCTAGAGGCTATTTTCTCCAGTCACTTCTACTAGGGTGGGTGTTAGGAGACGACAACACGTGAGGAAGACACTTGAGAAGAGAAAGATACTGAGAAACTTTCCCAAGTGCCCTTCAGACTTCATGGGTGATTCCAAGAATACTGGAATTCCAAAAACATCTTTCTAAATTGATTTAGTAACTGACTGCTTTCAAAAAGGATTTAAGACAACTCACAGTGAAAACTTGAGTGCAGAATGACAAGCCAAAATATTTAACACAAGTCCTAAAGAGGAAACAAAAGTTAGAGAGATGAAAGGAAAAATAATTAAAACTCTCTTGAGGCAATGGAACACAAAATTTAGTGGTGAATTTCCTAGTCACCAAATGAGACCAATAAAAATACATTGGGCACTGTATCTCTCAATTTCTAGCAAAGAGAATGTAACAGTTCTTTAGGAACAATAAATATGTGTGAAAAAAATCCACATGAAAAGTCAGAAGTAAACTTTCTATTGAATGTCTACAATGCACGGGATGATTTACATTCATTATCACATTTAATTGTGATAATTAATTAATATCTACCCTGTGAGATAGATATTATTTTTACTGCAAAGGAAAATGAATCTCCAGAGAAGTTAATTGACTTGATAAAAGTCACAGCTAGTAAGGGATGGAACTAAAACTTCAACTCATGCCTATCTGATTCCATAGCTCATATCACACCCAGTAAGTATATAACCCCTACCTCGATCTCATCTGCATCTCCAGCTCAAAGCACGCATACACATACACACACACACACACACATATGAACACACACATACACACACATGTGTTCATGCACAATTTTTTATTCTATAACCAGGTTATACTCAGGAAATATATCTTAGAAACCTCAGGAAAAATACAAAGCTAGCAGCTGTAAGTTCAACATCCTCATTCTGACTACTATCATGGTAGCAGTATCTCCACTGGTGGTGGTCAGTGGGTTCAGTCGTGTCCAACTCTGCAACCCATGGACTGTAGCCTCCCAGACACTTCTGTCCATGGGATTTTCCAGGCAAGAATACTGGAGTGGGTTGCCATTTCCTTCTCCAGGGAATCTCCCTGACCCAGGGATTGAACCCACATCTCCAGAGTCTCCTGCATTGCAGGCAGATTCTTCAAGCCACGGGAGAAACCCAGTATCTCCATGATTTGTGTGAAATATAAAATGCCTTTTTGTACCATACTATAGATAAATCCTAAGGGAAAAATAGGCATATCCAATTTGTCTCTTGGAATAATATTCCTATGTTTTTATCTGTATAAGGATACCTGAGAGTTAGGCTGAGATCACAGTAGTGGGCTTCAGCCAAGAAAATAAAATCATATGCAAAGAAGCCAGTGAAGTGGAGTCTGTTCCTACCATAGCAGAAGACAGTATCCAAACCTACTTATCTTTAGTCTAACATCACTTGCCAAAGCCAATGTGATTAGTTTAGACTGGTAGAAGGATCAGCAAACTAGAGGACTACTTTCATGAGAGGAGCTGGGCTGCTTATAATCCCAATAAAGAGTAAAAAAAAGGTCTCCAACCCCAAAGGCAGAAATGGACAGAGTTATCATACTGGAGAGATCTCTGGTCTAAGTAGGAATTGCGACAGGAGTCCAGTCATGGAGGTGAAGCCTGAAGGTTACAGCTTAAGGGGAGAGAGAGCTCATTCTTTGGGTCTGAGCTAGGTCCTACAGAAACTTCAGGATAAAAGTCTGAGTTTATGCAGCTGTGTGGAGCTGGGTAAGCAGTGTCTTGCAATTGGCACACAATATATTGGTAACTTAACGATGAACTGAGTATTGCAAAGGCTCTTATTCTCTGTCAAAGAAACACAGATGGATAAAGTGACTTGCACAAGCATCAACCTGTGGCAAATTCATGACCAGAACACAAAGTATATGGCTTTTCTTCTAAAGCACTCTTGAGCTATTTCTCTGAGTGACTCTACATGAAGGAAGCAAGATGGGAGACAGTGGCTGTAGTGTTTCAGGTCTTTCAATGATTCTTTTGTATCATGTCACAGCCAGTCTAACCAATTACATCACACAGTAGTCCTGCAGATGCAGGATCCTCATGGCTGCTTTCATATGTATAAGTTAACTAAAATATGATTTAATTTTAAGCTCTTCTATGGGGCACATGTATTAAAATTACAAACACAAATTATTTATTATTACATTTAGCTATAGTGGACCACAATAAGATTGACCCAAAAAGATCGGAAATCCTAAAATTACATTATCAGGCACTTATAATGCCTCCTCCCCCTACTCCAAAGAATATTTAAATGAATTTATTTTTACTGACAGAGGAAAGTCAACCTGAGAATTTAAATCTCTATATGCCACCCAAAATAGCTAAGAAACATACAGAGAAGCAAGAGTTGAGTACCTTTGACTCAATGTATATGGGACATTTTTTTTTTTGAATAACATAAAATTTTACTCAGTTTAAAGTAAGCAGCACTTGTCACAAGTTTTTGTTTAATCGTTTTTACAAATTTTTATTTAGTCACTGAATAGGTTGTTAAGACAGTAGAACTGTTAGAAGCTTTATGTATGCATCATAAATTCTGGCACAATTTCCATTTCTGAAAACTGAACTGCACTTTTTTTTTTTGAACTGCACTTTTAAAGTATTTTTGCTGTTCTCCTTTCCTTTCTCTATTTTCTGTACTTATCAAAATATTTAGTGCAAAATAATGTGCTTATGAAATGTAAATACTCATGTATTGTTAGCTAAGAGCCCTCTCTGGTATATGACATTTACAAATACCATGGCTATTTTGGGATCATTATTTATATTAATTATAACTGAGATGTATACCAGAGATAGCAGTCCAAATTGACTTAAGAGTCCTTCAGAAGGTTGTCTTTCTAGTTGTACCACCTTTCATTAATTATGTCTTATTAATTGTCACATTGCATTATATCTGTGCACAGTATGGTGCTGCATAGCATAATGCAGGCAATGAGAAGCAGTGTGAAATGTTGTAGGCATTATATTTTAATGAGACAGCATTTGTGTTGAGTCTGAATGCCTGCAGTTAATTCAGAGAACACGTACTTGAGTTCAGATTCTGACATGTTTAGCAAACCAAATATTCATTAAGTTAGGTGATGTGGAAGCATTATAAGCACTCCAGTGTGACACTTACTACACCTGAGGTGCTGTGAACAAGAAGTGTACTTTATTTCAGGTGGAAGTCCTCTGTGTGCTGGTAGTATGAAACTCTGTCTCTTTTTTCTTCAGGTCCTAAAGGGTTTCCCAGAATGTTTACAAGCTGACATTTGTCTACATCTCAACCAGACTTTGCTGCAAAACTGCAAAGCCTTTCGGGGGGCAAGTAAAGGTTGCCTTAGAGCTTTGGCAATGAAGTTCAAGACCACCCATGCACCTCCGGGAGACACCCTGGTTCACTGTGGGGATGTCCTCACTGCACTTTATTTCTTATCCAGAGGCTCCATTGAAATCCTCAAAGATGACATTGTGGTAGCTATTCTGGGTGAGTGTTTTAAAATTGGATAGTCACAAATTCAGCTTTTAGCCAGTGTAATGCATAGTTTAAAATGACAGAAGACAGGACTTTCCTATTTATTTATGATTACTGTTTAAAACTGATGAATAATTTTAAAGCTTTACTTAAAATTCAATTCAAATCAAATTAACCTTGCAGAAAATACATTTTCTTGACTCTCTTACTTGTTCTCTGATGTGTAAATGCTTCCATTCTTGGCAGCCACTTAAGCCTTTGAGGCCAAATATATGAAAATAGCATTTTCCTTTTTGTGTTACAGGATCATGGATTCATGCTGAGTCCTTATCACCTTAAATAAAATGTATATGTAGTAAGCATACTTGCTAGCATGTGCCAATGCCTGTCATGACCTGGGTTTGTATGTTGATGAATTCGTCTACTTGCTGTACACTTTACTACTGTGTCCCATCAAACAGATTTATATGAGTCCTTACCTAGGTTATCAGTAATATAGGGCTATAAACAACACACAGGGATCAAGGTGTTGAGGAGATAAAAATTCATAAGTTAAACTGGTTTGGTTTGCAAAAGAAAGTCCATCTCTCCAATCTGCCTCTTCAAAAATAAATTTATTCAGTGTGAACTGGTAGGATTTCTTTAGAATATTAGAACAATGGGAAAGCACAAGGGAGCAGAGAGAAATGATATCAGTTTTTGTTCTCTCCTATCCCCTAGCCAGTAAGTTTAAGGTTGTATCTCCCTGGGATCACCCACTCCCAATGTTTGGGAACATGTGCACTCATTTTTTTCCCCATGGATTAAATCTGGTTCTATTTAAATAAAAAGCACCTAATTCAATGATTTCCTTTTACTTGACTCTTGATATTAACATCCAAAAGATGAGGACATTGTCTGTTTTCTTCACTGTTGTATAGAGCCAATGGTCATAACACAGAACACAATAAATGAATGAAGATGTTTGAGAAATTTATATATCTTGATCATTATATTATGATGAGAATTTTTTTTAAAAAAATTTTCAAACCTGATCAGAGGTACAATTTGGTTTATAATCCAATAAGCAGACCAAGAATAAAAATATATCTTAAATCACTTAGCAGCTACAGAGTAAAGCGAGATTTTCACTTGATTTGGCCTTGACAGTTCTAGTCTCTTGCCAGGGAAGAAGCATGCATCATTGCATTCCTGATCTTCAAATCAGCCAGCCTTAACTTCTACAAGAAGGTAACAAGCTGTCTTGCTTTATAAAATAGTAATTTTAGAATGTAGTTAAGCTGTACATGGTGACTGGCTTACTCTTTGCTCACTTACAATCAGGTAAAATACAAATACAAAGCTCATGCTGAATTTAGTTCAGAGCTTTTCTCTGATAATATCGGTACTAACATATTAAAACTATAAAGAATTTCAAAAGATTCTCCTTTCCTGTCTCCATTTCCATGTAAATCTGCACTTAAAAGTCTCAGAAATTATTATGAGTCCTCATTCAATTTTTAAGCTATGTATTTAAATGAAAGTTGAAGTATTCTCTCCAACATCAATTTTTCTTATGAAAATATGGCATCTGATTTCTCCCCATGACATTCACATTTAAAATAAGAACATCACAGAGTTTTTCTTTTACCTCAATTTTTTTTGTTTAAAAGTCTTTGGTAGTTTCCATAGTTGGGTTATATATGAACTTGTTTACCAAAAAGATAAGTAACAGATCCACTGAGGTTTTTCTAAATCTGAAAAGTAGCTTCAGGATATATGTATATATGTAAAGGTACATTTTACACTGCCATCTACTACCTTTAAAAGTTACATAACCAATACTCCATCAGTAGTTACTGCACATGTATTTCATAGGTACAATTTTTAAGTATCTTGGCTTTAGAGACAGGAAGATCTAAGTGGCCGTGACATTCAGGGAAAACAATGGGAGGAGATGAGATATATCAAGTGTGCAAAGATTTTAACTGGAGTCAGAATGCGTGGGATGTAGTTATGGCTGCTCTCTTTCTACCTTTATTTCACCCAACTAAGAAGGTGACCTTGACTTAATCCATTTGCACTCTTTAATCCTCTTTCATTTTCATAACATTTGGATAATAATTAGTAATTTTCTCATTAGGTTATTTTGGGGATCAAGTGAGATAATACACTTAAGCATTTGATGCAGAGCCCATTCCTGTCATTATCATCCTCGTAGTTGAAGGAGACCTAGGAAAGAAGTGACATGTGGCTAGTCAGAGGGGATGGCAAGGGCCCATCAGAAAACAGACACTAAAATAACCCCAGGCTTGGCCAAAAAGCAGGAAGGACACAATTTTGGAATAAAGGCCATACAGTTTAAAAACATGACTGTATTTGTTGAAAAAATATAACTAGATGTATTATTAAGTGCAGTTCCAAAAGTAGTTACTAAAGGAAACCATGTATATGCAAATTGTACCCCCAGTCCTCTAAGTTAAGAGAGATCTACCATAACCCCATACTTGGAATCACCTTCCCAGAACATTCTGAGATAGAAAGTTTGTGACTCACCACAGCCTTTCCCTTATTCCTAGAGTGATAGAATTAGACCATACTAGACTCTTACCAAAAACATAGCAAACCAAAGCTGTGTCTTCTGCATTCCAGATGCTTAGCCAAAGAATCAAAACTAGGAAATAATGGGTATTATACCAGGACCAGTGCTCTAAAAGGTAAAATTCTGGTCAGCAAAAAAAGATGACTGGGGCAGTGAGTACGTGGCCCTAGGATTGTGCTGCCCAAGTGTCTGTTGGCTGTCGGGTCTTAATGTGAAATTTTTGGTTCAGGGATAGGTCAGTGGTCCCCTTCAACTTTTAAAAGTAAAACATTAAGTTCAGATTTCCTTCATTCCTTTTTTTTTCTCCTTTTTGATCTTTTAGGAAAAAATGATATATTTGGAGAAATGGTCCATCTTTATGCCAAACCTGGAAAGTCTAACGCAGATGTAAGAGCGCTCACATACTGTGACTTGCATAAGATTCAGAGAGAGGACTTGCTAGAGGTTTTGGACATGTATCCTGAGTTTTCTGATCACTTTCTCACAAACCTAGAGTTGACTTTCAACCTGAGGCATGAGAGTGCAAAGGTATATGTTACCTGCTCATTTTTGGACTCTGACGTTTTATTTTATCCTTAGATTGCCCAAGGACCTCTGAAAGGTCAAGTGAAATAGTGTAAACGGTTAAACAATTGTGAATATTTGAAAAGAAAAGCCAACTTAATATTAGAATTTCTCAATTATAAAGAATGAATTAGGTCTAATTGCACTCAAGTATGTTGAATAACTTTAGTAGTTCAATTCAATTTGACCTTTTAGGAACTTTTAGGAGATATACTTGATCTATAATAGCCTTTTTTTTTAATATTGAATGTGACCATTATTTGTTATAAATGGGTGATTCTAGGCTATTGAAAATCACCTAAAAAGAGTTTATCTTATACAGAGGTTAAAATATTCTCTCAGATATTATTTACACTGTATATTGGATAGCAGTATCTTTTCAATAATCATGAAGAAGTTAAATTCTTAAAGTTTAGGTACATATTTAACACAATTTCTAAATTGTAGAATATAAACTAATCAGGACTATACCCAAGTCAAAATTATTGATGCAGAATGAATAACATATACTCTAGTAGAAATAGAACCTTAAATAATGTTGCATGTGATTTAACACAGGATCAATTTCTAGAGTGTAGCCTTTAAAGCCCTCACTCACCCTCCTCCACCATGAAAATATGTCCTAATCACCCGCGAGTATTCTGAGTAGATTTTATGTTGCAGCCCACAATTTATTACTAAATTATTCTCTATCTCCTCCCCCTCCCACCAAACTCATAATCCTAACTCCAACTCTAAATACATTTTTTGCCAGAAACCAAATGTTTTGACACTTGCAAGTGTATTTTAATGTTAACTAATAAAGTCTCTGGAAAGTAAGGTTCTCAAGTCAATAGTTAGGTAAAATATGGTAGATTTCATTTTCCCTGGAGTTATAGTCATTCCCAGGATACTGTGAGAGACTTAAAGAATTTAAGGTCACCAGAGTACCATTTGATAACCCAAAGCACCAGCTCAGATAATTATTTCTTTTCAAAATGCTGAAAGTTGAAAAATCAGGTGGTAAGAGGTTCAAGTTACCCAGAGTATATGCTTTTTTTAATGATTTTAATTCAAAATTGTATCAAGTTGCAGTTTAATATCACTGACCTCATTCTTATTTTGCTTCCAAAAATAAGCATCTACTTCAGATAACTTATTTGTAAAAATTTTAGGCAGCAACCAAATAAACAAAACAGAAGCTTCCATTTGTTTTATTTATTTGGAAACCTCCAGTTTTGTTTATGAGAGAGGGAGGAAGGAAGAATGGGGAACAAAATAGGGTTCAGAGCATAGTGTTTATTGATTTCAACCTTCTATTTATTGTTGTGAAATTTAACCTTGCAATCTTTACCATGTAATTTAAACATCATAGCTAATTATAATTAGTTTACACATGTTTTTCTGCAATGATATAGATTTTTCAATTTTTTTAATTATTGCTATTTTTAACTTTTCCAAGTTACATAAAATATATTACACAGGAAGGAATATATGTTGTCTGCAAGTGTTGACGTCATCCCCAAACATTTCTGATAAATAACTTCTACAACTATGATTTCCCTGGTTAAACTACTAGAATTATTTTCAGTCTATTTTATAATTTAGAGAAAATCATTAAGCAAAGTGTTGTAGTTATTTGCCTGCAATCTATTAATTAAGCCCTTAAAGTGGTTGAAATGATATGAAATAGTAGAGTTTACTGATGATACACTATATTCAGACTGAATAATCTTCCACTCTATCTTCATGTTCCATTAACAAAGGCTGATCTCTTACTGCGATCACAGTCCATGAATGATTCTGAAGCAGACAACTGTAAACTGCGAAGGAGATTGTCATTTGATAGTGAAGGAGACAAAGGTAATTCATTCTTTTCTAAAGTTTAAATGTGGAGCATGTGAATATTAGTCTTGCTTATTTAAATGCTCATTGTACTTCTTATGTCAAGGGTAAACTTAATTCAGATTTTAGGAAGGCAAATCCTTTGCTTTTTTCAGTAGATAATGATGTGGTTTCTGATTGATAACTCTCAACGGTGTTTCTCAAGAGCCGATCCTAGGCCCTCTTCTTCTCTTCTTATTCTATCATACTCTTCCCCTAGGTAATTTTATTTATACCCATAGTTTAATTATATTTTTGCATACATGTGTGTGCTAAGTCTGTTCAGTTGTGTCTGCCTCTTTGCAATCCTATGGACTGTAGGTTGCTCTGTCCATGGGATTCTCCAGACAAAAATACTGGAATGGATTGCCATGCCCTCCCCCAGGAATTGAACCCTCCTCCTTCCCAACCCAGGGATCAAACCCACGTCTCCTGCATTGTCTTCTGCATTGGCAGGCAGGTTCTTTACCGCTAGTGCCACCTAGGAAGCCCTATAATATTTTCACATAGGAGATGTGCATGAAAGTGAAAGTGCGAAAGTGTTAGATCATTCAGTTTATGTCCGACTCTTTGTGACTTCATGGACTGTAGCCCACCAGGCTCCTCTGTCCATGGGAATCTCCAGACAAGAATATTGGAGCGGGAAGCTATTCCCTTCTTCAGGGGATCTTTCTGACTCGGGGATCGAACCCAGTTCTCCTGCATTGCAGGCAGATTCTTTAGTATCTGAGCTACCACAGAAGCTCTGGAGAAGTACATATTTACATCTTAATACCAGAATATCTAGGGACTTCCCTGGTGGCACTAGTGGTAAAGAATCCACCTGCCAATGCAGGTAGACGTAAGAGACGCATGCTTGATCCCTCGGTAGGGAAGATACCCTGGAAGAGGGCATGACAACCCATTCCAGTATTCTTGTCTGGAAAATCCCATGGACAGAGGAGCCTGGCAGGCTGCAGTCCATAGGGTTGCATCGAGTCAGACACAACTGAAGCAACTTAGCGTGCACATACCAGAACATCTGAACTTCAGCCTCCTATATCCAAATGCCTATTAAACCATCTACATGAAATTACAACAGCGGCTCAAACTTCTTAAAATTGAAATCATTAGTACCCCTGGAAACCTCTCTCTCCATCAGTTGCCATGTCTGTAAATGGCACCACCGTTCAACACGTTGCACAGACTAGATAGTCTCTCTAGGAACCAATTTTCTCTCAGCCTCTCCATCAGCCTTGCCAACAAGTTTTATTATTATTGCCTCCAACACAGCCATTTACTCTTCAGAGTAGGTCTTTTTGGTTCACTCTTCTCCATCTTCATAACCACAACTCTGGGTCAGTGAGACATGTTTCAGCTCACCTTGCCAACTTGCCCCTGTTTCATCTATTGTTTACACTGGACCACTGGTAATTATTTTTTCTAAATCCAGTTTGGTTTATGCCACCCACATATTTAAAGTCCTCTAAGGACTTCCCATTCCCTAAATTCTTCATAGGGTGAGTCTATGCCCACCTTTTCAGTCTTATCTCATACCATCCTTCCCTTACCAGCTCCTCTCTTTTGCAACATTTATTCCAGTTGCACTTCCATATGATTTGCATCATTATTTAATCAATGATGTCTGCCTGTAGATCATAAACCTCGTGGGAAATATTTGGTCACCTAAAGCTTCAGTGCTTGCCTTAGCAGTTGTTCAACAAATATCTGTTGAAAAAATGAATGAATTAATGAACTAGCACTTGAGCATCTTCCATGTGATTCTTTTCCTCAGTTTGCCTTTAATCAGTTCTTTTCTTGGTCCTCTTTCCTCTGAATCCTCTCCCAAGGGGAGCTCATCTCTTAGTTTTAACTTGCTCTATATTCCAAGTTAACTCGGCTGCCCTTTCTTCCATGTACATCACTTTTGTGTTTTTGATTATATGCCTTCCTTAGTCAGAATTTACCTCCCTGTCTTCAAACACACATATGTGGACACATACAAACAAAACTATACCACACCACTTTTTAATAAATTAAATTACTTTTTTCAAGGTTAAACTTCAGTGATATTCAATGTGAACTCTTTCTTGATTTTCTCAAAAATACAGATTTTCTTTTTTTATGAATTCCTAAGACACTTCCCTCTTGTTATCTTGTTATATAGCTGGTTTTTACTTACAATGGTTTAACTTGTGATTTTTTGACTTTACAGTAGTGCAAAATGATACACATTTAGTAGAAATTATATTTCAAATTTGAATTTTGATCTTTTCCCAGCTAGTGATATCTCATAATGTAGTTTATTGGGATGTTGGACAGTGGCAGCTCTCAGCCAGCCACATGATCACAAGGGAAATAGCCAAATATACTTAAAACCATTTTGTTTTCTACTTTCAATGCAGTATTCAATAAATTACATGAGATACTCAACACTTTATTGTAGACTAGGCTTTTGTTAAATGATTTTGCCCAATATAGCATAATGTAAATATTCTGAGCATATTTAGACTAGGTTAAGCTATCATGTTCAGTAGATTAAATGTATTTTCAACTTATGATTTTCAACTTACAGTGGGTTTATTGTACTATAACCCCATAGTAACTCAAGGAAGATCTTTATTTTTAAATATGCCCTGTGCAGTGGTTATTGGTATATTTGTGTTTTTTTCTCTATCAAATAGTAGACTCCTTTAGCAAAGCATGGTGAATAAATATCTGTTGAATTAGGCTAATTGTTGAATCCTCTGGCTGATTGCAGAACAATAAACCACTCACAGCTAGGTGATAATATATTTCTGCAATGTCCTTAGTTATTCTCCTGGTGAGTTTTTCTAAAATCAGAACCATAATAGTCAAGCTGTTCTATCGACTTAATCTAAATCCCTTATCCTGAAGTTAATCTCATATTTTGATCTCACTAAAAATAAAACACAGCTTAACAATACTGTCTATATAATAATGTCACCCATACAGTTGAAGATTTATTAAATCTCCTTTCAATCTTGTTTAGTTTCCTCATTCTCAAGCTAAATAATCAAATGTTTTTATCTCCAGATAAGGCCCTAAGAGCATGTCACAATTTATACTGTGCTAATGCTACTAGACATTTCTATTGATTCTGAAGACTTTTCCTTTAATCTCAGGCTTAGTGTATAAGACCTGTTTTATATAAAATGTTGATGATAAGGCATTTGCCTGCCTGTAACTTTTTGAAGTTTCCTGGTGTATCAGTGAGTAAGTCAATATGAAAACACGGTTAGCTCCAGTCTAAAGTGTAGCTCAATTGGTAAAGAACCTGCCTGCAATGCAGAAGACCCAGGTTCAATTCCTGGGTCAGAAAGATCCCCTGGAGAAGGAAATGGCAACCCACTCCAGTATTCTTGCCAGGAGAATCCAATGAACAGAGGAACCTTGCAGGCTATAGTACATGGGGTAGCAAAGGTCATACAGAACTTAGCGACTAAACCACCATCCAGAGCCTGAGAGCCTATTCCAGTCTCTAGGATTCCATGGTGCTATAGGCAGGTTTAAAATTTGCTGAAAGCAATTTAGTCCCAATCACCCCAATCTAAAGATCTGAACGGCCGTCCATTCTTTACTTCTTGATATAGAATCAATATCTGGGAGGGAAAAAATGCATATAAGCAATTATAAAGAATAAACAAAGTTCAGAAGATAATTGATCCCAAATGATATGAAGGTTACATAAATGAAAAACTGCCCATGAAACGTATTGATTACTTTAGAGTTAGTTTACTGCTCAGTTGAAACAATACCTTGAGGGCATATATTCAAGAGTAATGATGACTGTGAATTAATCAGCAGAGGCATCAAGAACCAGAGGGAAGAACACATCGTCGGCCACTGTTGACAGACACATTGAATCTTACAATTACTGCCCACAACCTACCCAACAAAACACCGGAACTCTTCAGGTTTCAGTCCCCACTTATACCTCCCTCCCACCGTGTCTACCATGTGGAGCTAAGGAGTTTACATTCAAAAAGAAATATTAAAAATGAAAAGGTATATATAGAAACTTTGCAGGGTAAAAAAAAAAAAAGAAACTTTGCAGGTTGACTTGAACTAAATAGAAGCTTAACATATTGGACCTCTTCTCTCCTAAAATACATTTGTAGGTGAAAGTGGTTTGTCCTCATAGGCTCTGTACTTCTGAGGAAATAAACTCAGTTCTTGAATAGAAAGAGTTGTCAGTTCGAGTCCAAATTTGAGGACACTTTTATATTTATATATATATATATATATACATTTTGAGGATATTTTCAAGAAGTTCTCTTTCCTTGGTAAAGTTCTGACATAGAGGTACCCAGCATCTTCCCAACTTGACTGTGGTTATTGTAGGGGGAGGTGTTACAGTTTCTGAGATGAAAGTAGAATGTTACTGTTACAGACTGTGAAGAATAAAAGTGTATCTTCAGTGACTTCCTTAGTCATCACAAGCATTGAAAAGATAGTTGGACAGAACAGAAATAAATGAGCTTTAACCATTTAGAACATTTTGAAAATAGTCTAAATACTCTTCAAAGTTGGATTGTACTTACTTCAGAGTGTGCCAGTATAGTCTATTGAATATGAGAATATTTCTTTTAAAATTTTATGTTGTGAAATTTTTAGGAATTTTATGTTGCTTCATGGTGTGGCCAAAAAATAATAATAAATAGAATAAAATTTTATATTGTGTATATTTTATAATACTCATAATTTTAGAACAATAGCATGTATAATGGCCCATGAGATACATACACACAAACATATATGTATTTTTAGCAATAGCTCTTTTGTGACTGAATGTTTGGAATATTCTGCTCAGCTTTTTCTATGAACAGAAAATAGAATATCAAAGTAGCTATTAAACACTAAAAGCTAATTTAAGGAGTCAGTTACCCTTTGAGAGACACTAATTAAATGAGAGCATCAATTAATAGGCCCACCCCCCAAAAAGAAAATTGAACTGTGTTAAATGTTCAACATCCTCTTTACATTGAATTTAGATGGTTGTCACACATCATAAAAAAAGAACCCATTTTAAGAAATATATATATTCTAAGAGCAATTTTCTTACTTTCCCACTCATGTGTTTTTTTATTAAATTCTGTATATATTCAACTGAAAAAATCTAATGTTCCAGAAAATAAGAATGGAAAGAGATCTTTAACTCATATGCCTGTTTCAAAGAATAGCAATAAACATTATCTTTTTCTAATACTGGTTTAGTGATTTCACATTGTCATACAAAAGTCAGTAAAGTCTAGCAAGTGTTTCTCCAAAATAACTTCTATGAAAGTTATTGAAGTTAAGAATAAATATATACATTGTTAAACTTGTTTTTACAAAATAGGAATGGGTCAAATTCTAATTTTATGAAGTCAATCCTTTAACAATATTGTTGTTATAATCTGGCACCTCTTAGGAACATCTTCTCCAATAATAAAGAATGATTAGTTTTTGTTATCCATTTCAGTAATACATAAATATATCTTTATTTTAAGCTTTAAGATAGATTTTTATCTGTGTTTATGTAGAAAAGTGATGCTAATCTGTTTTCAACTTTCTTTGATGCTAGAGAGGAACTGAAGTACTTGAAATCAAATGAAGACATTTATTTTAGATTCCAGTGTTCCAATGAAATAAAATTTTTAATGCACTTTACTGGAAAATGCTCAACTTATCTCAAAATTGTTACCAGTGGGAAATCTTAAATGATAAGAGAGCATATTAAATGCTTCTCTTTAACCTGAAGTTGGGTCCACCTGTTAGATCTGACAAATAAAAATGATAAATAATTGAGAGAAAAACTCCATAAATGATGGAGAGAGCACAGGCATTTGTTCCCAGATTGTTTGAAATGTAAAAATTTTCTATAATCATTCTTAAGACGGATGGTTCCACCTCTCCATCAGGACATTCACTCTACGCTCTTCAACCCACCCAGAACCCAGAGAGACACCCCCAAGACAATTCATAAATGTTTTAGAATTGTATCCTGTGAGAAAAGGTGGGTAGATAGACTGTCGACATACAGAAACAAGGTTTTTGTTTGTTTTTTGTAAGAGTTTTCAGTCATCTAAGTCAGAAAAATTCCAAGCTTAATGAAACAGGCCAACTTTTTCCTTTGTACAATGATTGTAACAGGAATGATTAAACAGTCTCATTTCTACTAAGGGGAAAAGGTAAAAAAACTTCTTCTGATTGCTATTTAGAATACTATTTCTACATAGTGTTCAAGAAAGCAACTTTAAAAAATAATAATAATAAAATAGCACTAAGAGTAACATTAAGAAAAAATATTACCTAATGCTACTTAATGTCTATTAAGTAATCCAGTGTAGGAACTTCCCTGGAGATCTAGTGGTTAACACTCCGTGCTTCCACTGCAGGAGGGCATAGGTTCATCCCTAGTTGGGGAAATGAGATTCCCACATGCTACGTGGAGTGCCCTGCCCCCCTGCAAAAAAAAAAAAAAAAAGTCAGTTTAACTAGAAAAAGGCAAAAATGGAATATGCCATAAAAATCTAGAGGTAACTGGAGGCTAATTATAATGTATTTCAGTCCAATTTCATGTATTCCATTAGCCAACCTCCAGCCTAAGACTGAGCGGTTTCCATTGTTAATCCACAAATAGATTGTCATTTCAGCTGTCATTTTAAATGATCAAATTTGAAGCTTTGTTTTATCTAGTTTGGAATAGAAAAATGTTGTTGCAGTTGGGCTGTGTCAGAGAAATTGTTCATGTGGCCTGAGTTCCAAAAAGCATCTGGCTGATCATTCAGTCGCAAAGAACACAGAAAAAATACGGAGTAATTTCCCTTATATACTTGAAAAAAATCAAGGATATAAAACTTTTCTTCTTTCATGATCCTGCTTTTACTGGAGATTTTTGTTAAAGGATTTAGATATCATGTATATAGAACAATTTGTCCCATTTCACAAGAATTAAATAATAATTCCCCATCACCACATTGGGAGCACATCCCAAGTTGAAATCAGCAAGTTCTAATTCAATTTAACAATATACGTTAACTGATGAATTTTTACCTAAGCATCCAAAATCAAGCCATAAGTTAGTAAACTAAGACCAAGGCCCATGTGGTATGTGGGACAGAACATTTTACTATGTATGAGGATCTGTAAATCTACAGAGGACTCCTAAGACTGCTCAAGCTGAAAAAAACCATGTGATTTAATAACTTGTGATGTGCATTCTTTACAAGTGTCCACCTTAGCATTATCCTTACTTAGATTAGAATTATGAATTAAATGATAATTTAGTTTGCATTTGATTCTGCTGGAAAAGATTCCATGAAAGTGTTTAAAAGAAAAGAATTTCAGGGAAAATGAGAAGCCTTTGCTGATTCAATCCTCCTGGTGCCCAAACTGTGCAAAGGTTTACTTAGAAGCAACAAATTGACCCAATCCACTAAGCAGGTATGAGGACAATTTAGAGAAATGAAGCATTTGCTGTTTTTAACATTTACTTGCATAAAGTTGGAAACTATTATGTTTTGAAGAATGAAATGGTATGTTCATAAAGTGGAAGAAATGATCAAATTTTCAGGTGGGAAGAAGTTAAAATCAAAGAAAACAGGAGGAGACGACAAGAATGAAGGAGGGCTGTGTCAGTGACACTGGAGATAGACAGCTTGTGTAAGAAGACTTGAATTTACAACCAACTAGATTAGTGGTTGAGCACTGAAGAGAAATATAAGGGACACTGAGCAATCAAGATGTCTACAGTGCTTGAGACTAGAAAAGTCTGTAGCCTTCTCAGTAATGATGAAATCACTGCGCAAGTGAGAAATCTTAAAGAAAATAAATTAAGCAATCTGCTTTCATTGCATTTAACTTTAATTGGCAGGATGTAAACAACTAATTCCTTAATAACCATGTCACATGAAGCTGGTTTTTGAACTTTATCCATTTGTACCTTGGGCTGCTTTCTGGCTTCTCAAATTTTAAATTATGATTTTTTAAAAATAAAAGAAAAAGATTTCTGTTTAATTTTGTGCCATATGGGAATTTTAAAAAACAGTTGGAAGTTTCTCTGGAGTGGCCTTAAATCATTTCATTTGGCCTTCTATAAATAACAAAGTAAGTATAATCAGGCAGAGAGTAGATGGAGACACTCTCTTAAACATTTCTCTAGAAAATGATATACCTTCTGGAGTATGTTGGTTTGTTATTAGTGGTAACCAGATGGAGAATTATACTGTCTCCCCAGGACACTAATGGAAACAAGTTCCGAGATTTGTCTCTTAGAGTTTTTCCTGCTGAAATATGTTCTAACACAATGTTCAGGGCTGAAATTATCCTGACATTTTAGTATAAAACAGCCAATGTGCACTACTGGCTTTAATGTAATTAGGTAAACCTACCTTAATTACTATTTTCAAGTTTTATATTATTTGCAATATGCTGCACAACCAAACTGCATGGTATGTCAAGGCCATTATACAGATTGAACTAAAGCTGAAATTCAGCCTGCCAGCCTTTACCATAAGGGGGCTTCTGGATTTGACCTTCACAATGAGTAGATGACCACGACAGATGAGAGGGCATGAAGGTTAAAAATAAATGAACAATAAGCTGCATAGTGGTGATATTTTAGAGTTGGGACACGTTTTTCTTCACTGTTTCATTTCCTTAAAGAGATAGTGCACCAGATTTAAGAATACAAATGACTGTTGAGTGTATATAAATAAGGTTTAAATTATCCTATAGTTTTTTTTTCTGAGATATAAACGTGATTACTGTCACGGGTATTCTTTTATTTTGAAATGAATAATGTATTTCATGACAGTAATCTAATGCCCTGTGAATTAAGGTTAAAAAATCTTCTTAAATAGCTACATTTCCAGTAGGATAAAAAAAAGAAAGAACAACATTTCTGGAAGTTTTAAAAAATTCGGTGTTAAAGTTATTCAAAAAACAAACTATGAAAAAGCTAGTTTATGTAGACAGTGTAGTGTGCCTAGAATCTCATATTTGATTATCTTCTATAAAATAACTTTTCTTTGATAGATTTTGGCAAAGAAAGCACTACAAATGACCCTGAAGACTCTGTAGATACCATAAGACATTACCAGAGTTCCAAAAAGCACTTCGAAGAGAAAAAAAGCAGATCTTCATCTTTTATCTCCTCCATTGATGATGAACAAAAGCCTCTCTTCTCAGGACTTGTTGATTCTCCTCCAGGAATAGTGAAAGCAACTGGACTTGATCTTGAAACAGTGCCCACCTCAGGAAGAATTCGCATAGATAAAAGAAGTCACTCTTGCAAAGGTAACAAGTTTCTCAGGAATCAGTTTGTCTCATGTCAGTGCTAATCACAAAATGCTGACTTTGTACAAATGAAAAGCCATGCCACACGTTGACTGAATCTGCAAATTCATGATGTATTTGCAAAGATCAAATCTTAGATCATCTACAAAGTGTCTGCAGGATTCTGGGATAGTGGTCATTATTCCCAATTATAGCAAAAGAGGTTCTGTATAGTCAGTCAGGCCTAACACGATGCCACATAGAACGTTGTAGGAATGTCTTTTGTAGTGATTCCATGGGAGAGGGGACCAATGAGTATTTGAAGAATTCTAACCCATTGATTCTTATATGTATCTTCTGTATCCATGAAAATGAAAGCATTAGTCGTCCAGTCATGTCTGACTCTGTAACCCTGTGGATTGTAGCCCGCCAGGCTCCTCTGTCCATGGAATTCTCCAGGCAAGAATACTGGAGTAGGTAGCCATTCCCTTCTCCAAGGGATCTTCCTGACCCAGAGACTGAACCTGGGTCTCCTGCATTGTAGGCAGATTCTTTACCCTCTGAGCCACCAGGGAAGCCTCTGTATCCATTCCCACCCCCAAAGCTGTTTTTATAGCCTGAAAGGACAGTTCAATCAAAATACAATAAATATTTTTAAAAAAGAGCTTCAGTACACTGGGAATTATGAGAAAATGGAGATAAATGACCTGAAATAAAATGTCCTTTTGATTCAACTCATTGGAACACATTTGTTTATAAGGGATACCCATATATACAGGTTATGTTTTAGACAATATGCATGAACTGTTTAACTGCACTTAATAAATATGTCCAGATTTGATGCTAAAGGATGGAAAACTCAGAAAAACTTGAGGACTACTACATGAAAGAACACTTAACTTAGCATAACAGGAGCTAAATCTACAGATCTTATTATCTCACTAAGAATATGTAAAAACAGGCATGGGCAGACTGCCCGGGTTCCAGGTCCAAGTCTGTGACATGCTCTCTTCATGTCTTGACAGACCCTACTAAGACTCAGTTTGAACATCTTCAAAATTGGCATAATATGTTCTAACCAACTAGTCTGTTGTGATTATCAAATAAGATAATTGCATACATTACTTTCTCTGAAATAAAATCCCCAACCCTGTTTAGTATTTTCTCACAGTTTTTATTTTCTAACACTTTAATATTGACTATATTCCTGGAAAGAAAAAAATGTAGAGATGAAGAAAGTATAGCAAAAAAAATAAAGAGACTATAACAAAAATGAGGGCAAAATAGGGTGTTCTTGAACTGGCAGGATACAAAATTATGGCACAGTGTAAGTAAATATTACATATCATTGTCACCATTTTTCAAAGTGACTGTATCTGATAACAAAAGTTTTATTGAACCTAGGATGTTTAGGCTTTACAGTTGTCCAGAGTTACTTTCCCTATTTTATCAAATCAGCTTTTGCCATGACCCCAAGTTGAAGTAAGCTAAGAATATATGCAAATGTTCTCTGGACAATCTAAAATCTTGATGAAGTGAATGAAAATAGTACCTCATTTATCACAATGGAAGAATGGAATATTAGATGTGATTACTAAATGTCCCATTTTAGTTATTTATGAAAACGGATTCTGGGAAGTGCTAAAAATAATAAAAGGTTGCATCATGGAAGTCAGAAGTTCTGAAGAACTTGCTGAACCATCCTACTGTCTTCAAAAGAGTATAACTGAGTGGGCCTGATTTTTTTCAAAATACTTTTTGTTGTTTTCCTCTTAAGTTTTAAAGTCTCAAGTGACAAGTTATTAAAGATATATTTAGGGGATTTTATTCAACTTTATGATGACTCTCACTAACAATGAATTCTCATGCCCTTCATCTTATGTTTTTCTTTGCCACTTCTTCCAATTATTTTTAATTAGCTATTTTACATGCACAATAAAAGTATTCTATAAAATCTAAATATCTACAAATTTTAATTTTCAAAAATTCATAATGACATCTCTGTTCAAATAAACAGTTGCCTTTAAAACTCATAGTTAAATGTTCATGTCAATTGAATAGGCATAATTGATGCAGCATAGAGTTAATCAGTGTGACACATGGTTAAAAAGATAATTAATAAGACTAACCAGTGGAGAGTTCTAAAACTTTATTCAATGCAAATTTCTTTCCCTAATAATTTTTTAAGGTGAAATACTGTGTGATTTTCAAGAATTTGAATAATAAGTAGGGTATAACTGTAACTGTTGTGATTCAAGCTACTAAACCCCCACAGATTTTAGTTTTATCCTCAATAGGAAATGCCACTTACATTTCTAGCATTTGTCATGCTGAATCCAACAGAGAAGCACCTTTAGACAGAACTGAAAAGAAAAAAATCCAACTAAATGCACTCTGATCCTACTTAGATTGAGGTCAAAAGTTGACTCTAGGAAAATTGTGTACCGGGAACCAAATGAAAGTTTACTTTCTGTTCATCCATTTCCAGAAATGTGTCTTGCAACTATAGCAACATTTTCCAAGGCAACCGAGTGCAGATTCTTTCTGAGCTATATTTAGAAAGTATCTAAAAGGATGTTCATTTTGATTAAGACCACTAAGCAGGATCTCCCCATTGAACTCTTTTTTTTTATTGCTGTTAAAACAAGCTAATCACACATATCCAGATTTTAATAAAAGAGTAAATTATAATCAAGGAAGACTTTACCCAATAGTTTACAAGTATTCTTTTTTGCTAAGAGATTATCAGTTTTTTTCTTGAGCACTGAAGAAAAAATAAAATCCTACATAATTTATTGCATGTGATTCACCACTGTTATTTAAAAATCGATATCTTATATATGATTTGAGAATGAGAGCACTATTAGGCATAAATGGAAATACTGTAAGCTTTCTCAGCACAAAACTTCTGAGTATAATATGTAACTTCCATCCTGTCAGTTTTATTGTTTTTGTTTTATTGTCTAGCAAGAGGCTAGACAGGGAGAAACATTGGCATCATCCAGCCATTTATATGAGTGTTCTGATTATTTGTTTGGCATTACTTCTCCAAAATTGAAAACCTAGTGTACTAAAACATTATATTATTGTTTTGCATTTTAAAGTCACATGTGTGTGAATAAGAAATCATACTTTTCAGTGAAAATCTGCTGATGTATTACTTAAAAGTTCAGTACATTTTTGATGTTCAATTTCATAGGAAATTACATACTGTCACTTCAGAAAACAAAAGACCAGTTGTGCCCGATTCTGGGATCCCATGGCCTGTAGCCCACCAGGCTCCTCTCTCCATGGAATTCTCCAGGCGAGAGTAATGGAGTAGGTTGCCATTTCCTCCTCCAGGGGATCTTCCTGACCCAGGGATCAAACCCAGGTCTCCTGCATTGCTGGCAGATTCTTTACCAACTGAGCTACTAAGGAAGCCCCTTCCATAGAATAAGGAAGGCTTTAATTTCCTCTGAGGTCTGTTAACCATTTCAATAGTATAGGGAACCTTGACCTTATGTTTTCCTAATACCATCTTTGTTAGAGCTTTGTTAGAGCTTCACCCAAGTGAAGCAGAAATTGTTGGTACCTCATTAAAGATTTCTATGCATTCAATGACAAAAGTATAGTGATAGAAAAACCATGAAGAAAAGGTACAGACATTGTGTCTGCTACCTGTGGATAGGGGGTACTTTTGAAGAAACTGTAGGAAAGGAAGGGATTTCAAGAAACCCTACAAATCCTGTTCCTTGTTTCTAGAATCATAGCTAATTCTCTCCAAATTGGTTACTTTCTATCCAGTTTTTAAAATAGCCAAAAATATAAATTCCATAACTTTACATAACTTTCATCAGTGTTTAATCATAAATACTTGTCCAAAAGAAAAAACAAAAGTCTTTGCATCAAAGCAAAATCACTTTTTGTTATTTAAGTCTATTTCCATGTGAAAATGAAGTCAGTCTTTTTCTCCTACCAGTCCTCTGAGTGAGGAAAACATACTCCTTCTTTCTCTCTGAAATAAACTCCCAATTCCACTAGTACTGGATTGCTGTGCCATGCGCTCAGTCATGTCCAACTCTTTGAGACCCTGTGGACTGTAGGCTTCCAGGCTCCTCTGTCCATGAGATTTTCTAGGCAAGAATACTGGACTGGGTTGCCATTTCCTCCTCCAAGTGCTCTTCCTGACCCAGAGATCGAATCAGCCTCTCATGTATCTCCTGCATTGCAGGTGTATTCTTTACCTGCTGAGCCACCGGGGAAGCCCCAACTAGTATTTTTTCATGGGTTTTACTTCCCAAACTTTCAATTGTTTTAAGTACTTCTTAGATACATGAAATGCAGAGGGTAAGAAAGCATAGCAGAAGTCATCAAAAGCATATTGCAGAAATGGGAGGGAAAATATTATATTTGCCCTCAAATATTGACAACTTGCAAATACAGATTGTTAGAGAAACAGTAAATTAAATGAGGTTCAGAAAATGAACCTCTGTAAGAAAAATGATTAAAGCCTTGTTAGACTGAATTCCTCAAGGGCAGGGCCTATGTCTTCTTCATTTCTAACTCTTCTACAATGAGCAAAGTGTCTGGCACATAACAGACATGCAGATCATCTGAAAAGTGGACTTGAACAGATAAGTGATATGTTTTAAAGTATAGTAACATAAAAATACTTTAAATGAAAGAGATCCAAGGAAAAATATTGAAATTTAATGTGCATAAATTAAAGGACAGTGCAGAAGGAGCTACAAGAAAGCGTAAAAACATGAAAGAATGTCATGGGACATTAGGACAAAGAGACTTAGGCCTCTTCCCATCTTTAATGGCTCACCGTTCTTTGGGTCTGCTTTGAGTTGAGTTGGTCTAAGGGAATCCTTCTGGAGATCATCACTTCCCCATGACTCCCTCTTCTCAAACCCACTCTGAATCATTACGTATGCAAATTACTCTGTGGGAAAGAGCCCTAAAATCTTCAATCTGAGGTGAACCAGTACATACATATGGTGCTGTTTCTACCCAAATGTAAAAGCTCAAAGTCTTCATTCTCTGACTAGAGTATAGGGTGGTCCAACCATGTTTCCCCTTAGCACAAAATAGAAGGGGAAATTGTACTGGAAACTCATAACCAGCTGTGTGGAAATAGGTGGGGGAGGTGGCAGTCAGGATCAGGGTGGATGGGAGTCAGCCACCTATTGGTTGTAGTTGCTCGACAGGTCCCCGAGTCCCTGTGGTTCTGTCTTCCAGTTAAATGTCCAGATCCCTTCCTGCTTGTATTGTGGATGTCTCTGTAGCTATAAGTGGGCACCCAAAGAAGCTGCCATCCATTTTGCTGTTTCCCACAGATATCACTGACATGAGAAGCTGGGAAAGAGAAAATGCTGGGGCTCGGGCTGATGAGTCTAGCCCCTCAGCACTTCAGCGAGCTGCCTGGGGAGTCTCTGAGACCGAAAGTGACCTCACCTATGGAGAAGTGGAGCAAAGATTAGATCTGCTTCAGGAACAGCTTAACAGGTATAGACAAGCCCAGGCAAAGGAATGATGTGATCCAAGCCGTTAGTGGGGTCTGGCTTTACGCTTCGTAAATAGCAAATTCACCCTGCCCTAGACCTCACATACACTTTCCTTATACACTTTCTCATTTTAAATATGACTAGAAGTTGACAGAATTATTAATGTCTTGCAAGGAGCATTTATTTAGAATACTTCACACTTTTGACAGCACAAATCCTATTTTTTCTTTACTTGTCATAAAATCAGTATCTCATCAGCATTGCTTGCCTAAGAAACTTCCTTTTTTAATCCCCAAAATAATTCACATTTAGTTTGTTGACTAACACCCTTCCTCTTTCAATCCTCCTTTTACACTTTGTGGTGGCTGCTGGTAACTTAGTTATATCTTATGGCATTTTTAAAAATATTGACAAAATTATTTAAACACTTATTTTTTCAGCCAACTTGTCAAAAATGTGATTGAGTTGAAGCCCAGATCCTCTCCATTTTCCCTCCATCTTTGACCTATGACCTTTTAAGATAAGGAATAAATTTTGGTTTTAGAAAGGATAGAACCCCTTAACCCAAATCTACATGGGTTCCTTAAAATTAAACTGATCAATCAGATTTAAGAAAAATAGATGTATGATACTGTTTTAGTTGTGTTACATGTGGAAAGTGACCTTGATTCAAGGTATTTTCCAGGATACCACTGGGCAAGGTATTCCAATAGTCACACATGAAAAACTGCATGGATTAAACTAAGATGCTCAAATCAACTTGAAACACACAGTGAGTGAGGAGGAGAGCCAGATGGGGTAATTAACACATTTCTAATACGTACAATCCTGGTAAAAAAATCACACAACCCGAATCCTGATTTACATGACATTTATATATATATATCATCAGCCTTCCCTGCTGATGGTGTGGTTCTGAGGATGAGAATCGAGATTTCCACAAAACAGGTCCACAGATAAAAACTGCCCAACACCAATGACACACACATACTCCATCACTGAGAGGTAGGGTCAAGTACCCTTGGCCACAGTATAACATACTCTGGTTTGTTACATCATATTTCTATTCTATCTTTGGAACATCTTGCAGGTTGCTAGCATGCTGTTTGTATTTAATGCATCTTATGAAGTCTGCCCATGTCTAACAAACTACTTGCTTACTCATCTGTACTTACCACAGTCTATGTGTTTTACTTATACACATAAACTAGCTACTATGCTTACTTTTTCTTGTGTTTTGTTGATGTTGCTTGTTGTTTTATTGATTTAAAAAAAAAAAATCTTTATGCCAGAATTGAGCAGTGTCAAATAATGCAGTGTCAAATAATACAGTAAAAATGTGTATCTACACAAATGTACATTATCATGAAAGATGAATTAGCAATTAAAATAGACAAAAGGAATTAGAAAATCAACTAATTTGTAAATTTAAATAAATTCATTTGCCTTAATTTCAGATAAAAGTATGACAATACTGCATAAACTAATGATATGTTTTGTATTTTTTCATGCAGTTTAATCAAACTTTGAAAGTTAAAAAACTGAGATCTATATCCCACTCTCAATTGTCAAATATCAGTCTTGTAAAATTGAAACATATCTGAGAAAATTAAACCAGATTATCACTTACTTAGAGTCAGTAATTCCTATTTTAAGGTATAAGAACTTGACATGATCATAATTATTATTGCTCAGAGAGGTATATTTAGTTAATTACTACATTTCCTATCTCTCTCTTCTATTTATGCCAAGCTACATTGATCTTTTAGCCATAATATATATCAAAATACATACTGTACACATAGAACTGATAGACTAAAGTGTGATTTCTGAACTTGACCTTCCTCTATTCCTGCATATTTCTTTGTGTGTTTGGCGTGTGTGTGTGTGTGTGTGTGTGTGTGTGTGGCTCAGTGGCTCAGTTATGTCCAGCTCTTTGCAACCCCAGGGACTGTAGCCCACCAAGCTCCTCTTTCCATGGAATTGTCCAGGCAAGAATACTGGAGCTGATTGCCATTTTCTACTTCAAGGGATCTTTCCAACCCAGAGATAGAACCCACGTCTCTTTCATCTTCTGCATTGCGGGCAGATTCTTTGCCACTGTATCACCATGTAGTATGCGTTCAATTCCTGGAGTAAGTGAAAAAAAAAATGGCTGAATGAATGGATGAATAACAGGGACAGTGATTTCTTCAGCACAGCATTTAACAATTGTTCAGCCTAACGTTATAACCCTCTTACTTCACTACTAACAGAATTACTAGGTCAAGTCATCTAAATTTCTCCAGCCTCAGTTTCCTTTTTTGACCTCTTCTGACCTGCAATATTATTGTGAAGACTAAAGTAATACATGTGGAGAGTATATATGCTATAAAATACAAAGAGTTCTGGTTAGAGAAAATATAATTAACAATGAACTTAACTTCATTTCTATTACTGATACTTGTTAGAGCATATTCTTCTACTCTGAATATATTTCTATGTTATCTAATTTGGATCTTTCTTGAAGGTGAAATTTGAGATTTTAATTTTCCCTTGTTGCATTGTCATGGATGCCAATCGTTGCTGCTGATGTAAATCAAAGATCACTGAAAAAACTTGCCTTTAATGTGTCCTAGAACTGAAACTATAAATTTTAAGGGCATGTACACCTAGTTCCCATTTGGTTTGCAACCACCTATTAATACTAATACTAATGGGCTTCCCTGGTAATTCAGTTGGTATAGAATCGGCCTGCAGGACCCAGATTCGATCCCTGGGTCAGGAAGATACCCTGGAGAAGGAAATCACAAACCATTCCAGCATCCTTGCCTGGAAAATCCCATGGACAAAGGAGCCTGGTGGGCTGCAGTCCATGGGGTTGCAAAGAGTCAGGCGTGACTGAACAACTAACATACTGTTACTACTAATAGCTGTTATTATTTTATTATGTTAGTTTTAAATTTACTTTTATACAATACTTTTTTTCACAGCCAAACTGCAACTAAATCTTTTTGACATGTCCTAGCATCTCTATGTTTTTGAACATATTTACTTTCTTTTACTAAATTCTAGCAAGCTCTCAAAAACATTTTATTGCCTGACTCAACCTCCTTGGATTTAAAATCCAATATATTGCATTTTTACTGCACAGACATCTCCAAGAACCTGTTTCCTCCACTTTAGAAGGCAAAAGTTTGAAGAAGGCAGCTCGATTTAAACTTCAGCTTTGCAGGGTGAGAATCCTGGTATACTTTCTTAAGTTGGATCTGCTCTGTTTAGCTTCAGCATTCTGTTCAAATGTAGTAGAACTGTAAATTTCTACCCCATTTGTTTCATCCAAATACACATATTAAGTGCACAGTGCAATAAAAACAAATATAAATAGTCTATCTTGAGTCATCCTGGTGGTTGCTGCTTTTTGCTTTAATGGCCAATTAAACTCTATATGGGGTTAAAGGTTTACATAAGAAATGTTCTTACATACTTATATATTATGCCTACGGATATACATATTTAGGGAAAATCACTAACGCTTGATCCCAAAGCCATGCTTCTCAAACTTTAATGTTTTTGAATCACCTGGGGATCTTGTTAAAATGTAGATTCTAAGTCTAGGTCTAGAATCCACATTCTAACAAGCTCCCAAATTTGACCACACTTTGTATAGGGAAGCCCGAGAGGATATAAAAGCTTTCAGTGCTGACTCCATCCCTTACAGAACACTGTGCCTGGTACACTGTGGGTCTTTGATAATATGTAAATGAAAACATTCATTTTACACAGCTGTTTAGCTATGCTGATGTAGAGGAAGAAAAATAAATTTCCCTCTACCTGTCTGACTTTCTGGCTGAGACCCTCTATAATAAAAGATTAAGAAAAAAAAAGAACATAAATGTATTAACATGTATACCTCATATACACATGGGAGGTACTCAGAGGAAAATGAGTTACTCCCTGAGGTGCCTTAGAATTTAGGATTAAATACCATCTTAATAGGGAAAGGGGCTGGGGATGTAGGTCCCTTAGAGGAGAGTAAATGATTTTTAAGATAGATGAATGATGCCTTGAAAGAATGACATGTTATCATTAATATATGATATGTTAATATGGGTATAATAGTTTGTGACAAAGTTTGTCTTGGTGTGATGCCTCTTCTGTAACAAAATTCAACCTTCCCTGGTTGTTGAAACTCCCAGGGAAGGGATTTATGACAATTGAGTTCCTTTTGGAATATCTGCCTTGAGGCAGATAAGAGAAGTTCAGAGAAAGCCTCTCCCCACACTTACTGTTCTCCAAGTGCCTACAGCTCAAAAGAATCAATATGCCAAAGTGGCTTATTTTGGGGTGGCATCTGCTGCTACCCTTCACTGGCAACAAGAAAAAGTTATAAAATTCAGCTTTTCTGTTTCAAAGACCAAGCTAGAAATTTTCAAAATTCTCTCTAATTCTTCCAGAGTAGAATAGATTATTTAGTGTCATGTGAAGAGTCCATTACAATTAAACTGATAGACCCTAATCATAAAACATGAATATACAACCCATGCATAATAGAGAAATTCTTTACTAAAATTCTTCTTCTTGAATGTTTTAGTCTCTGGGGGCTGCTGTAACAAAAATACAGTAGACTGGGTGGTTCATAAACAACAGATATTTCTCAGTTCTGGAGACTGGCAAGTCCAAGATCAAAGTGCTGGGAGATTCTGTATCTAATGAGAGCAAGTTTCCTGGTTCATAGACGGCTGTCTTCTTATTGTATCCTCACATGATAGGAGGAAGCAAGCTCTTTGGGGCCCTGGCTTATGAGGCACTAATACCATTCATGAAGCATCTACCTTTATGACTTAATTACATCCCAAAGGCCATACCTCTTACTACCATCACATTGTGGTTAGGATTTCACCATTAGCATTTCAACATAAACATTCAATCCATTGCAAAATATCAGACTACTGTTAATACAACTAAACTAAGTATTCATAATCACCGCAGGAAGACATGGACCTGGACAGAGTCTTAAGTATTATCTCAGAAAGGAAAGCAAAAAGTGGGGTATTTATATGACTTTGGAGCTTGGGCCTTTCAGGTCGAAACACTGAGGGATTAGGGCTAAGTTCATAACATGATAGTCCAGGATTGATGGACACAATGACATGAGGATCTTAAAGCAAGTATGGATAAATAAAATTTGATTAAGCAAGTTATTTGCTCTCAAGATCAGTTTGCTGTCTCCAGTGAGTTAATCTGTAGAATTTTCCTGAGGGAGGAACGTTCTTTATTCCCTTAGACTTATTTTTCTCAGGCAAAGTTTTCCTGAAACAAGCAACTAACTCTCGTTCTCAGCCTGCAACAGCTGCCCCATCTGCAAGTGATGGTCCCACTAATGGGCCGCATGCTGCTGTTACTGAAGACACACTTCCAATAGGTGTTTCCTTCTCTATTCACTATTCACCTAGACAGAATCTGTGATATAGAGATCCTGTTTCTTAAAGATGACTGCTGTTTGACAAAGGTTTTGTAAGGAATCAAAATCATTATCATAATGTTTGACTCTCTACTGGGTCTTTAATCTCATTTGTTGACGAAGTTTTTATTATTCCACTGTCCACCCCCCAAATCCTTCTACATGTAATGTGTCAGCTACTCCCTAAATATTAAATGCTGTTCATGATAGGCTAAATTCATACAGAAATACTTACAGTGAATATGGAATTTTCTTTGGGGACTCAGAGGAGGGAGAAATTAATTCTGAATAAGGTAACATTTGGGTGTGCAGATAAAATTTGTGCCATACTTTGAAGCATGAAAGAAAGTATTGATGCTTAATAAAATAATGAGTCTTCTCTGTTTAGTTAGCACCATAAAAATATTAGAACAATGAGTAACAAGTAGATAATAAACTAGTTGATAATTCAAATTTTTCTTGTGTGGTTTTGACACCTGTAGGGCATAGTCATGTATAATTTATAGCTATTTGTTTAGAAAACACTAAGCTACATGGCTATACATACCAAATATACCAAATATCGAAAACCTGTACAAATAATGTACAGGTTACCATGATTCTCAGAAGGAAAATTTCTAGTCAGTATTAAAAAATAGAAGAAGAATGACCTTTTATCATGTTGTCCAGGTTTATTCTGTTCTCTCTCAAATCAAAGGTTAAGTTCTCTCCATTGTGAACTTCACAAATATAGCATGTATATAACTGAGCAAAATTAGTCTATGCTTTTAACATTTTGGGTACAATTTACCTTTTTCTTGCATTTTCCATTGAAACAGAATAGTAAGCACAAACAAGTAAAGAGTTAAAAGTTTTCTCAAGAGGCATATGGTCTAAATTTTCTGTTTTATACCCACAAAATTCTTTTTTAATACTGTTAACACATGCAAAGGAGAAGAATCAGACCCATTGTATTCTGTTGTTTTTTCTCTTGAATTTTAATTTAAAATGAGAATGAAATTAACAGGCCATTTGGCTACTTGTGAACTTCGGGGGGGGGAAATGATCAGGCTGGTATTTTACAAGCCAGATGGGCTATAGAAGCAAGTGAACTTTTATATTTGGTCTGTTTCTAAATACCAAAGGCCCTGAACTATAGATGGGAAAGGAATTCAGCATTTGACAGTACTAACATTAAGGAAAGAATGTAGTGAATAATATACAATACTTGATGTGAGTAGGAGAGAGGTAACATAAAATATTGATAATATAAATTTGAAACACATAATAAATGATCCAATTGTTGCAATGATTAAAGAAATGTGCTATAATCTCTCTTTTTTAAAGAGTAAATAAAATGTCCAGGAGAAACTGACCAAAACCTGACTTAAAATCAGAGAATGACTGATTAAAAATAGATTCTCAATGTGTTTTCCATTTTGAAATCAATAAAACTTAACGGTAATGTAATACAATGTACACTGTGAAAATGTAGTCTTTTCATTCTGATGTTTTTCTGTTAAGATCTTATTAAAGGAACGGGAGCAATGATCATTATCAGAGCCGTTAGTGTGATATAGCAAGTAAGCGTCTTCGTGCTCCCTCTCCTGTCCTTCTTGTTTAAAGCAAGTCCACAATTCTGTTTGGTGGTGCTGCTGCAATTTTTTTCCGATGTTTTTCAATCCTGAACTATTTTAGGACTGTCTTCCCATTTCTGTCTGTCCTGCAGACTTGAGTCCCAAATGACTGCAGACATCCAGACCATCTTACAGCTGCTGCAGAAACAAACCACTGCGGTCCCACCAGCCTATAGTATGGTAACTGCAGGAGGAGAGTATCAGAGACCCACCATCCGCCTGATGAGAACCAGTCATCCGGTAGCGTCCATCAAGACAGATCGAAGTTTCAGTCCTTCCTCACAGGTGAGCACAGGTAGTGTATAACAAAGAGCGTCTCTCAAGATGTGTTTCCAGGGACCATCTGGATCAGAATCGAGTAACCTGGGCTGCTGTAGAAAATGCATACTCTCATTTCCATCTCTGTCTCTACTCAATTAGAAAGTCTGGGAATGAACCCTGTAATCTCTGTTTTAAACAAGCTTCCCTCCATCCCACCCTTTCTCCCCAATTCTTTTGCTCATTTAAAGCTTGAGAACAATGGACCTAGAAGAGTGATCTTAAAACACGAGTATTTTTTTTTTTTAAAGAAAAAGCTTTTTTCAAGAGTTAATCTACTTAAGTTTATAAATGGTAGAACATTGAAAACTAAAGACTACCCCTGGGTCCAAAAAACGTTTAGATAAAGGTTTGTAATTTGCTCTAGAGACACTCTTGAACAGGATCTGGGGAAGGAAGGGGCAAGAAATAGCAGCCAGCCAGACAAGACCTGAGACCAGGAGTAATCAGATAATAACCAACCACATCTGTGCCCACCCATCACTAAGGAGCTCTAAAAGTTTCTCACCTTGATGATGGTAGGAGAAATGTTAGTGTCCTTTATTTTTCCTCTGAAGTCCTGTGAGGAAGCCCTCTGATTTTGTTAATGTGAAAAGTGTAATTCCTTTGGGATTCCATTTTGGGAACCTTTCTTAATCACTTAAATACTGTGGCCAAACTGGACTTAAGAACAGCGATTTAAATAAGAATTTACAGAACAATCTTGTAAAAACTTTTTTAGAAGTTTGGGGATTGATGCTCTGGGGAATGAAACTATTTTAATAGCACAGAGTAATGTGCCTGAAGGAAAATAATACAGTCTCTCTGAAGTATGAAGGTAGAGATTGATTTGTCTCTAACTGGTTTTGAATGACTGGGAAACATGTGAAACCATGCAGCTTGTTTTTTGTTTTCAGTTGATTTACATGACATTTTCTGCCAAGGGATGGTTGATTTTCCTTCCTTTCTTTTTCTTTATCTGTGTTCTCCAAATGTACTCACCAAATGACCCCCCTTTCTGATCCCAGTTACGTTGGGAATTTTGAGGTAAAATTCATCTGGAAAACTCAGTGTGAAATACTATGTTTAAAATAATAATCTGATATGGCTTCAGAGTAAAATTAAAAATCTTGGAATGGTTGGGTAAGATTATCTAAACTGACGTCTGACCGCCAATGTCTTGACCCACCTTTGAGAGGGAAAGATTGGTTAAGACCACTAATCAAATACAGATTTACGGGAGAAGTAAGCATGTTTAGATTTCATGGTGTCATTTAGAAATACGTCCAAATGAATTATAAAAATGTGTTTTCTTCTCTTTTCTTTCATCAGTGTCCTGAATTTCTAGACCTTGAAAAATCTAAACTTAAATCCAAAGAATCCCTCTCAAGCGGAGTGCATCTGAACACCGCTTCAGAAGACAACTTGACTTCACTTTTAAAACAAGACAGTGATATCTCTTTAGAGCTTCACCCCCCAAGGCAAAGGAAAACTTGCCTTCATCCAATTAGGCATCCCTCTTTGACAGATTCATCCCTAAGCACTGTAGGAGTCTTGGGTCTTCATAGGCATGTTTCTGATCCTGGTCTTCCGGGGAAATAATCATTTTGTACTGTTTATTCCACATACAATGTAAGTGCTTTTAATGGCTGTTTTCCTTTTTGTATTTAAATCCTCTCTACTTGACTCAGGGGCTCACAAGGTACCATTATATGCAAAAGTACTGTATATTTTCCTAAATTGACGCTTGTAAGGTAAAATTGAGCAGTTAGGATGTAAATATATGTATGAACTCTTCTGTTCCTAATGTTAAAACTGCCAGCATCTCAAGGCACCTTACTTTTTATTTTTATTTTTTGAATCATGTGCATGTTAGGAAACTCCAATTTCTCTTGCATGGAGACTCCTATTTATTGCTTTTACTAAACCAGTACTTTGCTATGAAAATGCCTTCCAAGCAGGAAAGTAGAGGATAAAATTGTTCATGGATGCAACTCAGATGATCCTCAACTCTTGGAAGTTCAAGGAGGCAGGCAAAAGGGAACCTGGTCACTTTTGAGAACAGATATCCTTCTGGATTGAGATGTTTATAGATAATTACATTCATTCTAGCACACTGAAAAAAAATACAGTTTTAGAGTTATCAATTTCTGACAGTATAGGAAACCATTTCCAAATACATGAATATAGGCCAGCTTTAATGAGGACCAAAAGGCCTTTCTATTTAAAATTCTTTCTCTAACTGTATTCACAACTGTATTCACAAACTCCCTAAAATATTTTCCATTGGCACATTTCCTTAAATGCTTAGAAACAAGTTTCCCTAATTTTTATTTTCTTTTGTGTTGGTGGGTGGTGTAGGAAGGGAGTCATCTTAAGAACTACTGAAGGGCTACAGACACAAACTAGTATCCACAGCTTTCTTCTGACTCACATTTTAGGGCAATACTGATTTGATCAATAAGACTTTTGATCAAATTAGCACACATTGCTTTCTTTCCAAAAACTGTGCAATTTTAGTGGACTTATGTGGCAAAACAAGCTTCCGTTAAGGGTATGGTATTCTGTGACTTTCTAATTCCAGCTATAGAAAAACAGTATGCATTTACCTATCTATAAAGAAAATGGACAAACCAGCAGAAAAAAATTTTCAATTTTATTTGGTTATTCAAACACATTTACTAATCAAAGAGTAACTGAAAATCTATGATATGTGAATTGGGCTGAAGATATATTGATTCAAAATATCAGAATACATGATGGAATATATTTTAATATATTCAACTATTAGATTATTTGGGGAGAGTGGTGACATATGCCTCTCATAAAATCAGCGTACAGATAAGTTGCAAGTTAATTTAAGATTCTGATTAGCCAAATTCCAGTTAAGATGTTTTATTTTTCAATTGATTTGAGTACAACTTTAAATTTATTATGGACTGGTTCATTGTACCCTTTCCTTCTGAACAAAATGTCAAAACTTTTGAAAGTTTCTTCATCTTTTACTAAGTTTTACACTTATATATATTTTTAAAGAAACACTGTATCTGTGTATGTTATTAAATGGATTTATTTCTGTCCCTCTAGGATAGAAATATATAATTTATTGACTTACTTTTACCATTGACTAGTATATTAGTTTCAAATACAAGCAACTTATTTACATTTACAAAAACTTTGCACTATTTAAAATATAAATAAAGTGACCTTAAATTGCTCCCTATATATTGTTTAATGGTCACATAAATTGATAATCTGTGTGGAAGGCAATCTGTAGGCCTAGGCATGTTTTATCCCTGCTTAATTTTTGAAAATAAAGACATAAGCAATCAAATACACATGACAGAGTGTGTACACAGACCAGTCAATTCAATAAAAGTATGATAATTTTAGCCAGCTTTCCAAATTGTTTGGTGTTATGCAGATAGAAATTTAGGGGCTAACTGATGATTTCCTTTCCTCACTCAACAAACTTTTATGGGTGTCTAGCAGAGGAGAAAGAGAAATGGCTAACTGATCCAGTGGACAACTTAGGGATTTTGTTTCTGTATGTAGGCAGATTTTTGCGGCTGTAACAAATTTCAGAAGGATTGTCAGTCCAAGCTCTAGGGAAATTCAGAATGAATTCACCAGAGAATGTTCATTTATAGAGGGAGAATATCTGGCAGGTGAGGAATTCAGATCTGATTGTTTGATTAGTGAATGCTTCAGCTTCAACATTTGGTATGACATACATAAAATTCAGCCTCCCACATAAAGCTTCTATACTTCTTTATTAAAAACTAAGCATGAAGGAATAGGAACATGGGAAGTGATGTGCAAGCATCCAGCTTGTTTAAATTCTAGTATAACATGAACATTTTTTTCTTTGTTAATTCCTCAACATAAAAGAATTTTTTGATATTAAAATCCAAGTCTCAGAGGGTGGGACAGGATTAGGAAGGTCCATTCCTACAGGATATTAGCTTTTTAGCCCAAGCAATATAAAGATATGGTGAGTCAGGTATAGACATCAGAAGACTTAACATTGACTTAAACCAAAGTAATTGTCTTAATTTACACAATTCATCCTCTTGTCCTAGCCAAATATCTAATCCCTAAAGTCACTGTCATTTTCCCCAGTCACAGTCTGATCCCTCCATCGTGGGATCCTGCTGAGGGCCAGGTTAACTACTGTAGCCAATAACAGCAGTAGAGCAACTGCTCTCCTTCTAGGTGATTAGAAGTATTAACATAACACCTTTTGGCTTCCACCTAAAAAAAATATTACCTGGTCTCCAGGTCTCAATAAAATGGTGTCTTAATCTAAAATTTATCTGAGTTAGATGTCTTCTGATGTTATTAATTGCTGAGCATCAATTTGAAAGACTTACCAGTTTACCCTGTAGGGGAGTCCCATACTCTTTAATTAGTTGAGAAGAAAACCAGGAATGAAAAATGCTGAAGGCATGTTCTTGCAGGGTTTTAAAATAATCACTCATCAACATATATGGAAGGAAGGGTTACATTTGGGACAGCATAGCTTCTTCAGTCCATTATAATAGGTTGGTCATCAGAGCTGACTCTGATGACCTTACTGACTCTTCGAGTAAGATAAGGAAACTAAGTTAGGGCGGAATAGCATTTGGTGCCAGGTTTAACATGTATAGGGCTTCCCTGGTGGTTCAGATGGTAAAGTGTCTGCCTGCAACACAGGAAACACGGGTTCAACCCCTGGGTCGGGAAGATCCCCTGGAGAAGGAAATGGCAACCCACTGCAGTACTCTTGCCTGGAAAATTTCCATGGACTGAGGAGCCTGGTAGGCTACAGTCCACAGGATCACAAAGAGTCAGACACGACTGAGCGACTTCACTTTCTTTTCTTTCTGACTGCTGCTCTCAGGGTCCTTCTGGAGGTTGATCCTTACCAATGGTTCTTAAATGCCTAAAAGAACAAGGTCCTTATCCAAATGTTATTGTAAAATCCTATCATATGTTATCTAAGGATAAAATTTATCACCCGAAATGCCTATCTAAAATACAAATTATTAACAATAGTATATTTCCTCTGAATGCTTTTTATGTTCAAAAAAGAAATCTGGTAGAACTAGTTACTAAAAGTGAATTGGAGTTTTTCAAATGCTTATCCATGGTTAAAAACCCCAAAGTAGAGCAGTTGTTTGAATAGATTTCTAATTGTAAATCAAAATTAATATAAATTACAAAAATTTTAAATGTTACTAGATTTCAAGTAATATTTTTTGCTGTACAATCAATGTGTCTATCAAGTGAGTTCAAAGAGGCACCTAGAAGACAAGTCGTCGGGGGTGGCCCTTGAATTAGCAGCACTAGCTCCAACCACCTGGGAACCTGTTAGGAATGCCTTTTCTTGGACCACACCCATTCTATTAAATCAGAAACTTTGGTGGGGAGTGAGGCCAGCAGTCAGGTTACAACAAGCCCTCCTCCATATGATCCTGATGCGCATGAAAACTTTGAGAATCACTCGTGTAGTGCTCTGCAGTTAGACCAACTTGGGTCTCACCACAAGTTCTTTCATTAATAGCTGTTTGACCCTAAGCAAATTAATTAAACCTTTTGAGTCTTTTTCCAGAGATAATGGTACCCGCCCTGAAAATACCTGAGGAGGAAATAAGATAATATGTAGGAGAGTGCCTGGCACATAGTAGGTGCTCAAAAATGCTAGATTCTTTGGCTCTCATCTAGGAACATAACATTAAAAGCAATCAGGAAAATAAACAATTTTCCACAATTTAGCTTTTGCACAATGTGCAACGTCTCCAACTAAATGGCTAGAACCAAGACTAAAGCTTTTGTTTCAGAAAAATGCCAGTGTAGCTATTGTTTTCTCTCTCCTAATTGTAGTTTGCACTGTTAGGTTTATAGCTTTAAAATGATACTATTTACAGTAATAATTGTGAGAGTATGAATCTCATGGTTACAAACATATCTACTTTGAATGGATGTTAAATGCAAAGTGTGCAAAAATGGTCTGTTGAATTCAGTACAACTAGTATGTATTCCATGAAGACTGGCTCCCTAGTGAAGCCTCTTTCGATCCTAATGGTTATTTTTTTTTTCCTAATGGTTATTTTAAAGTAATTTTCAAAATACAATTTTGAAAGAATGTATATTTTTTCAGAAAATAGAAGTTCACGGTCTTAATGGTTCTTTTCAGACATCAAGGCCCATTCCCTCATGGCACAGATACATTGTCCAGAACCAGCCTGCTAAACTCTAGTGTGGAATAGTAGTGATGGCTAGAGACTCAGTGTGGTAAATCTGAACTCAAATCCTACCTCCTCCACTCACTGTCAAGGCAGAGTCTTCAGTGAGCTCCAGTATCCAAAACTATAAAAATGAGATAACAACTTAAGTATCTCAAAGGGGTGTTAAGGAGTCTGAAATATATTTGCGGAAGTGCTTTGTAAAATGCAAGGTACAATAAACTATAAGACTTAATGCATCATCACAAAGATGATGGTAATAGGGTACTAGTGCCGCAGCACTGCTTATGTCTTCTAAAAACCTTCTAGTGCTCTTTCCCTTGCCTGACACTACCTGTATTTAGCCTCATGACAAAAATCTATAAGGAAGAATCC